ATTCCTGGAGTGCCGAGGCCATAGAATGTTCTAGAAATAGACTTTCCGATGACCAAATAATCCAGTGGTTCAGCTTTTTGATGAATGCAATTTTCGCTTTCTGTGACTTGGGACCTTTTGACGCCTGCAGGGCCCCTTTCCAGAAAATTCTCAGCACAGAGATCTTCTGATACCGCGTGGCGTGCACGAGGCCATGGTCGGGCTCCAGAGGATGTCGCGGCTCCCACCCAGGCCTCCCGCCCGTCCTCGTCCTCCCGCCGCTGCCCTTCCAGGCTCCCAGGGCGGTCCCGGGCCGCGCCCCTCCCCAGCTAAGCCCCCGGCACCGCGAGCTAGTGCTGCTCCCCTCGTGGCAGGAATGGGAAATCGCAGCGGTGGAGGCTTGATACTCTCGGGCAGGACTCGAACTTGGGGTGAAAGGTCGCCGGCCAGCGGGAGACGTCCGCGTCTCGCGGGTGCCGTGCACGAGCTGTGGGCCGCTTCTCCTTTCGCCCCCCCCCGTGGCCGCCTCCCCGACACCCCGCAGGTGCAGGCCGAGAAGGAGAGGGGTCCAGTGACCTCTGGGGGTCCCAGGGATGCCACAACCTCGGAAAGCGCCCCCTCCTCCTTAATACAAAGGTGGGGGGCACTGGAGACAGACGCCCCCGCATCTCACGAGCGGGTGTCTCGGGAGGGGCTCAGCTCAGAATTGGCAGACAATCTGGCCACCTCTGTGGGAGGGGCCTAGGGGACCCAAGGAAGGTGGGTAGGCGGGGCTGACTGGGGAGGGGGCAGTGAGCCCCCCCAGCAGTGGGGGTGCAGCTCAGCTGAAGACATCCCACTCTGGCCTGGCCGTTCAATGGCGACATCCTGTCGGGGCCTGAAAGGGGTCCAAGGAGCCCCAGGTGGCAGCTGTGAGAACCCAGAGGAGGCACAAAGAGAGTACCAGGCCCTGGCCTCCGACCTAGACTGTGCAAAGCCTGCTAGTTCCAAAAATAAAGTGACCAGGAGCGTCGCAGGGAAGGGAGCAGGGAAAGGAGCAAACCCCAAGAAGGCGCTAAGGGTTGCAGAGAAGGAAGATTTCTCTGGGAGACAGTCGGTCTCAAACGAGAAGGAATGGCCCTGAGTCTCCTTCAAGGGAGGTCTTATCCTTAGGTCTCTAGTTACTACAATGAGGCCAAAAGCAGACGCTGTTCCAAGAAGGATACAGCACTTCGGGAAGCTGAGACAAGAGGATCCCTAGAGGCCAAAAGTTTGAGACCAGCCTGGACCTCATCTCTACACATCTTTTTTTTTTGTGAGTTGGAGTCTCATTCTGTCATCCAGGCTGGAGTTCAGTGGCACGTTGACGGCCACCACAGCCTCGACCTACGGGGCTCAGGCGATCCTTCCATCTCAGCCTTCCAAGTAGCTGGAACTACGGCACATGCCACCATGCCCGGCTAAGTTTTTTATTTATTGCAGAGATGAGGTCTCGCCAAATTGCCCAGGCTGGTCTCGAACCCTTGGGCTCAGGCAGTCTTCTCACCTCGGCCTCCCAAAGTGCTGGGATTATGAGCGTGAGCCACAGCGACCGGCCACATTTTTTTTCTTTTTTCTTTTAAATTAGCCAGGTGCAGTGGCCCATGCCTGTAGTCCTAGCTGCTTGGGAGGCTGAGTTGGGAGGATCCCTTGAGCCCAGGAGGTCAAGGCTGCTGTGAACTGTGATTGCGTCACTGCACTCCTGGTAACAGAGTGAAACCCTGTCTCCAAAAAAAAAAAACTTAATACCTCACCCACTCTGGGCATGGCATGCGGGCCATGGACACTGGTTTCAATTTGGAAAACGAACACTTTCCTCGGATAGCGTCTCTGTGGTTTCAGAGCCATGAAGTCATGTGCAAAGATGTCAAGTCTCCTCACAATGTGCAGCTGGGGTGTGTCCACCTGTCACCCCATCCTCACGATGAGCCTTAGGGCTGGGCCCTAGTCTTTATTGGACTGGGTACCCGAGAAGGACTGGAGGCGTCGACAAGATCACGGGAGACTGTCTGGTCCCGGTTCAAGGTCACGGTCTATTCCCCTGGGTGGCAATCAGGAGAGCAGGCGGGTGGTGGTGCTGCACCTCCCCTGCCCCCTTTCCAGCCCGAGAAGCCCCCCCCACCTTGGGATGGGCCAGAGCTGGCTAGAGGCAACTGCAGGAGCCCAGTGAGCAGGCCCTCGGCACCGTGGGGGCCGGGGCGGGAGGAACTGCCCACTCGGACGCCTCCCAGCTGGCACTGACCGATTTCGTCAAGGAGGAGGAGGATGACTGGGGGATCGGGTCAGAGACGAGCCAGATCAGAGTGTGAGAACTGCCGCAGCCGACAGAGTTCATTGTTAGCTCACAACGTAGCCCTGGGTCTGGGCTTCAGTGCCATCCTATCAGCTTATCGGGTGAGCATCAGTTCCATGAACAAACCCTGACGACCTGGGTCTCCACAACTCCCGTAGGGCCAGGCACCGTGGCTCACCCCTGGAATCCCAGCACTTTGGGAGGCTGAAGCGGGAGGATCGCCTGAGCCCAGGAGGTCCAGACTGTGTTGAGCCATGATCGTGCCACTGCACTCCAGCCAGGGTGACAGTGAGAATCTGACGGCTCTATGACAGCTGGCAAGTATCTGCTGATGCCAGTCACTGCGGGCGCTGAGGTGGAAGCCCTGGGCAGCTGAAAGGTGGCAGCCAGGCCCCATGGCCTTCCGGCAGATGTCAAAGCCCTCTCCTTAGGGCACATCAAGCCGTGTTCCCACTTTGCCACGGGAATCCTAGAAGCCAGAGGCCAGACGCTCAGTATGCGTAGTCCCCGGTCAGAATTGAGCCACACACCTTGGCGGTTTCATGACCTGCCTCAGTCCTTCCAGAGCTTCAGATTAGGGCCTCTGTCAGCAATGGAGATACGTCCAAGGACCCTCAAACCCAGGCCCCTGTGCAGAGGGGGGAGGAGGTTGGCGAGGAGGAGTCCCAGGGACCCTCAGAGCCAGCTTTAGGGTCTACCTTTGGATGCTGGCATAGGCGAGGATAAAGTGGGCGCACTTTAAAAAAAAAAAAGCCCCACCGGCTGTAATGACTGCCAGAATCTAGCGATATAACAATGGAAAAGAGAAAGCCATTTTTGGAACATGCTGTGTGACATTCATGTGACACGTGCTTTACCATTATGGTCATTCAAACAAATCCCTTCTGACCCCGTGACGCTAATTTATGTATCTTAAGTGACTCACACTAACTTTACTTGGCATTTCCTTGACAGTAATACCAAAATACTTATATGAGACACAAGCTAAGCCTTGTAAGTTTCTCAGCCACGAATTTACATGTGGACTTTGCTACAAGCCTTGGATTCAGCCTGGTGATTTTTTTCTCCCCCTCGCTGCATATTTGAGGAACAGAATTCGATAATCAGAGAATAGTTCTGCCTGAAAAGCTTGAGGCTTTAAACGGAGACTGGTACCGTGGGTGATCAGTGCCACCTGCTGACACTGTCCAGTACTGCAGCCCAGATATACGTATTTCAGACAGCAGAAACTGAGTCTCCCAAAACCTGGACTGAGAAATTCCTGTGGTCTAGGAAAAAAAGATGAAGATTGTATGGACGGGTGGTGCACAGACAGTCCAGAAGGCGCCCCTGGGAGTCCACACTCTTACAACTAAAAAGCAAACTGCCTCCTTGGTCTTTGGGGGACTACGATTTTTGTAAGGAACATATCCACTATGAATTAAAATACCCAGCGCTGGCCGGGCTTGGTGGTTCAGCCTGCAATCCCGTGCTTTGGGTGACCGAAGTTGAGCGGATTGCCTGAGCCCACGGGTTCGAGAACCGCCTGGGCAACTTGGTGAGACCTCATCTCTACAATAAATCAAAAAGTAGCCGGGCGTGGTAGCGCACACCTGTAGTTCCAGCTACTGGCAAACTGAGGCGGAAGGATCACCGGAGCCCAGCAGGTCGAGGCTGCGGTGGCCGGGAGTGCCATTGCACTCCAGTCTGGGTGACAGAGTGAGACTCCAACTCAAAAATAAAATAAAATAAAAATAAAATACCCAGCATTACCCCTTCTTCACCCTAGTTTTCAGTGTATTCCTGCAGGGAGTTGCCCCTGCCCTTGCAGAATACATCAGCAGTTTCATAACAGAAGAGAAAAGATTCATTTTTCAGGAATGTATGACTTGTTGGAAAATACCTCTCTTATGGAAAGCAAATACATTTTTTTCTCTACTTTTGCCTTTTTTTTTTTATGAGTTGAAATCTCACTCTGTGGCTCAGGCTGGAGTGCAGTGGCACATTCACAGCTCACCGCAGGCTTGATCTCCGGGCTTAAGCTAGCCCCCTGTTTCAGCCTCCCAAATAGCTGGGACTACAGGTGCACACCACCATGCCTGGCTCATTCTTTTATTTTTTAATTTATTTCGTAGAGACGAGGTCTTGCTGTGTTGCCTAGGCCGGTCTTAAACTCTTGGGCTCGAGTACCATATGTTCTCACTCATAAGCGGAACTTGAACAATTGTCATAATATATAAGAAAGGGATTGGCAGTAGTGGGAAACTGCCAGGGGAGGGAGGGACACACCTCATCCACAAGGGTACCTGCATACTCAACGTCTGTATACCTGACTCTGTATTGTACCCCACATCTTTAAAATGAAAAAAAAAAAGAACTCCTGGGCTCAAGGGATCCTCCCACCTTGTCTTCCCAAAGTGCTGGAATTATAGGTGTAAGCCACAGATAGGATCTCACTACGCTGCCCAGACTGGCCTCGAACTCCTGGCCTCGAGCAGTCCTCCTACCTGGACCTCCCCAAAGTGCTGGAATTATATATGTGAGCCACCACCCCTGCCAAGAAATGACTGACCTGGATCAACTCTGTCCTCATAACCCTTTCACCGTCCACTGCGTGACAATCCCTCTCCTAGCTTAACCTCTAGTTTTTCGGTTTCTTCTTCTTCCCGTGCCAACAGAAAGGCGGGCGGGAGGTAGAAAGGCAGCGCAAAAAGGGGTCCCTTACCCCCCGGATCACAAGGCAGATTTATTGAATTAGTGGCATGCAGGACAGTTCTTTCCCTAAGCGGCGGATGCAGGCATTAGAGTGCAGAATCCGGCGAGAGGAGAGGCTGGGTGGGGGTGGAGGCCGGGAGGCCGGGGCCTAGTCGCTCGGTGTCACGCAGAGCTCTCTCCGGGGGCGGGGGCTCCCTTCGGGGGAGCTGGACTCAGATGCCCCCGAGTGTGGAAGAGCGGCGCTCACGTCTCACTCCTCCCTGCAATAAAAAAAGGGGATGTGGATGGGGAAAGACGGGGTTCGCCAGTCGGCGGGAGGTAGCAACCGACCCTCAGCTTCAATTTTTTGGAGCAGGGTCTCGCTGTGGCAGCCCAGGCTAGAGGGCAGGGCCAAGATCATAGATCACTGTAACTTCGAATTTCTGGGCTCAAGGGATCTGCAGGCTCCCAGGTAGCTAGGACCGCAAGCCCATGCCTGGCTCGTTTTCTTTTTTAAAGCTTCAGCTTTTTGTGAAGGTGGGGTCTTGCTACGTTGCCCAGGCTGGTCTCAAACTCCTGGCCTCAAGCGACCCTCCCACCTCGGCCTCCCAAAGTGCTGGAATTGCAGGCGTGAGCTACCATGCCCGGCCCCACACTGGAATTCTTATCCATCGAAGACAAACATCCTCCCTTAGGAAAAATAAAATGCCGGTGACTTCCTGGCTTTGTCCTTGGGCCCTGTTCCAGGACTCCAGGCGCGGTGGTTCCCACCGGGCTGTGAGCTCTGCCCCTTTTAATTTAATTCAATTTTTATTTTTGCTGTCAGCGACCTGCTGGGCTCTGCAGGCCTGCGGGAAAGCTGGCCTAGGCCGACTTACCGGCTCTTTTTACGGTATTCCTGTAGCGCTTTCTCTGCCACGGTCTCCATGAATTTAGGGTTTTTCCTGGAGACTTCCACGGGGACCGTCACGGTGATGGGGTCGGAGTCAAACAGCTTCACAACCACCTCGGTGACACCAGAGGGAGCGTCTGAGTCAGAAGTGTGGGAAGCCACCTAGAAGAAAAAGAGAGAAAAGGTGAAACGTGGTAGTCAAAATGCACACATTCCAGCTGGGGCAACACACCAAGACCTTGTCTCTACAAAAAATAAAAATAGTAGCCAGGCGTGGTGGTGTGTATAGTTCTAGCTACTCAGGAGGCTGAGGCAGGAGGATCACTTCAGTCCAGGAGGTTGAGGTTGCGGTGAGATGTGATCACATCACTGCACTGTAGTCTGGGTGGACAGAGTGAGACCCTGACTCAGGGGAAAAAAGTGCACGCATTGTGCAACATAAATCAGGCTTCCAAAAGGCAAATCCTCCTGTTCCCTCAAGTAAATCTGCAGCCGATGGTCAACATAGCAAAGCCCTCATCTCTACAAAAAAAAATTTTAATTAGCTGGGCATTGTAGTTCCAGCTATTTGGGAGATTCAAGGTGGGAGGACTGCTTGAGGCCAGGAGTTCAAGACCAGCCAGGCAACATAGCAAGACCTCATTTCTACAACATATTTAAAAACTTAGCTGGGTGTGGTGGCACGCACCTGTAGTCCCAGCTACTTGAGAGGCTGAGCTAGGAGGATCCCTTGAACCCAAGAGGTCGAGGCTGCAGTGAGCTATGATTGTACCATAGCACCCCAGCCTAGGTGACCAAGTGAGACTCTGTCTCTAAAAAAGAAAAAAAGGCCGGGCGCGGTGGCTCACACCTATAATCCCAGCACTTTGGAAAGCCGGGGCGAGAGGATTGCCTGCGCCCGCAGGTTTGAGACCAGCCTGGGCAACTTAACGAGACCTCATCTCTACAGTAAATCAAAAAATTAGACGGGCATGGTGAAATGTGCCTGTAGTTCTGGCTACTTGGAAGGCTGAGGCGGAAGGATCCCCTGAGCCCTACAGTTGAGGTTGTGGTGGCCGGGACGTGCCACTGCCCTCCAGCCAGGGTGACAGAGTGAGACTCCAACTCCAAAAAAAAAAAAAAAGACCTGTTTCTTTTTACAAGTCTAGATACCTATGCAACCCAGTGAGCAGAAATGTTCTGGTTCACAGATACTCATCTGCAAGGTCAAACGCCATCTGCAAATGACCAGCCCAGGGGGTGCCCCAGAGAGTAAAAAGTAGTTTGCAAACACTTCCATTTGGGTAGACACCGGCCAGACTGAGGGAGAAAAGGGATCGGGGAAAAAGGAAGGAAAAGGGTTCCTAGCACTAGAAAGATATTTATCACTAGCAGAGAACTATGCACCAATGAATGAGTCTACATGGGCGAAGTCAGCCGTGCAGCTTCCAGAAAAGAACGCAGGCTTCTGGTTTGCTCCTGGGTTTTGGTATGCAAGCACGTGTGTAAGTACACACACACACACACACACACACACACACACACACACACACACACACACGCACACTCTACAGGCTTTGGAGCCAGGCAGACAAGTTCAAATACCAGCTGAGTCACCTACCATTTCTCTGACCCCGGGCAAGCCGTGCAACCCCCCAGTTTCCCCATCTGTGAAATGGGGTTGCAATATTTTGCCTCACTGGGTCATCTGGTTTCAAGTCTACGATGTACCTGAGATTTCTCTATTTCCCGCCGTGTGATAAGCGCTCGATCAAAAGCCGAGTGCCCCCTCCGACATCTTCATCTGATTTCCACCCTGGGGAGGCTGGCTGTCCGTCCAGGGCACTCCCTGGGCCGCCCTGGGCCTGTGGGGGCGGGGCGTGACTCACCGTGGTGACGCGGAGATAGTACTGGTCCTCCCCTTGGGTGAGGTTGGCCAGCTGGGACACCCAGCTGAACTGCTCGTTGAGCTGCTCCAGCAGGGAGGACGTGTTGAGCATCTTCCGCTGGTAGGAATGAAGCAGGTCGTTGTACCTCTTGGTCAGCAGCTCGGCCAGCTGGAGGGAATCGTTCAACTCCTGCCGCAGCTGGGCCTGCGAGGGGTCGCTGGCCGAACAGTCTGCCCGGAGACGGAAGGGACGAGAGGCAGGAACGGGAAGGGAGAGTTAGAAAGACACTGACAAAGTCCATCTATCCGCCCTTCTTGATGGCTGCATAATATTCCATTGTGTATATGTACCACATTTTTTTTATTGGATGGATTTGGAGTCGGTCATACTCAGTGATCTATCACAGAAACAAAGAACTGAGTTCCAAGCCAGGCTCAGTGGCTCAGCCTGTAATCCCGCGCCTTTGGGAGGCTGAGGTGAGTGACTTGCCTGAGTCCATGGGTTCGAGACCCGCCTGGGCAGCGAGACGTCATCACTGCAATAAATCAAAAAATCAGCCGGGCGTGGTAGCGCATGCCTGTGATTCCGGCTACTTGGAAGGCTGAAGCGGAAGGATCGCCGGAGCCCAGCAGGTCGAGGCTATGGTGGCCAGGAGTGGCCACGGCACTCCGGTCTGGGCGACAGAGTGAGACTCCGACTCAAAAAGAAAGAACTGAGTTCCATATGTTCTCACTCATAAGCGGCCCCTGAACAATTATAATGCTATAAGAAAGCGACTGGCAGTAGTGGGAAACTGTCAGGGGAGGGAAGGTGGGATTGGCAGTTGAGGGAAACTGCTGGGGAGGGAGGGACACACCTCATCAACAAGGGTCCCTGCATGATCAATGTTTGTATACCTAACCCTGAATTGTACCCCACATCTTTATAATAAATAAATTAATTTAAAAAAAAAGAAAGACACACGTGTGGAAAGGAGCCCACACAGCCAGGTCCCAAAGCTCACTGTAGTTCCAGCTATTTGGGAGATCAAGGTGGGAGAACTGCTTGAGGCCAGGAGTTCGAGACCAGCTGGGCAACATAGCAAGACCTCGTCTCTACAGAATATTTAAAAACATAGCTGGGTGTGGTGGCACGCACCTGTAGTCCCAGCTACTCGAGAGGCTGAGGTAAGGGGATCACTTGAATCTAGGGGAGGTCCACACGCTGGCTGTCACCATCCGCGACACAGCGGTGCACTCGCCCCAGAACGGGAGTCTAGACGCTGCTTCCTTCATCGAGAAAGTCTCCTCTGGGAAAGCGTGTCAGCTGAACTAACCAGCATGCTGGGTGATGTCACTGATTTCTCTCCGGGTGCCAGACCCTCATTTCTGTGGCCCTCCGCGCTGGTGTGAGCCGCACTTTGAGAAGCTCTCATCCCCGGTGCGCTCTCTGTGTCCCCAGACTTAGAGCTGTGCTGGCTACCCTGGTCCCTCCCAGGAGTCATATCTAAAAGAGGAACGAGGCTCACAGCTGCCATCGGTGTGGCACCTGCCACGTCCCAGACATCACATAAGGCGCTCTGGAGATCCCTTTTCTCTAATCACCGGACCTCCGTCAGGTTTAAATAGTCCAGGCCCACAGGAGAAAACGGCTCACCTAAAGCCATCGAAGAAATGATCTGTGAGTACAGACCAGGTCTTTCACTCCTAAGCTTGGACTCTTCTTTTATTTTATTTTATTATTTTTTGAGTTGGAGTCTCACTCTGCCGCCCAGACTGGAGTGCAGTGGCCGCTCCCGGCCACGCAGCCTCGACCTGCTGGGCTCCAGCGATCCTTCCGCCTCAGCCTTCCAAGTAGCCGGAATTACGGGCATGCGCTACCACGCCCGGCTGATTTTTTGATTTACTGTAGAGATGAGGTCTCGCTGCCCAGGCGGGTCTCGAACCCGCGGGCTCAAGCAATCCGCTCACCTCAGCCACCCAAAGGCACGGGATGACAGGCTGAGTCACCGAGCCTGGCTGGACTCTTCTTTTATTTAGAGACGAGGTCTCACTCTGCCATCCAAGCTGGAGTGCAGTGATGCAATAAACACAGCTTTGAACCTTGAACTCCGGGGCTCAAATGATGCTCCTGTTTCAGCCTCTCAAATAGCTAGGAACACAGATGTGCACCTCCATGCCCAGGTAATTTAAAAAAAAATTTTTTTTTGGTAGAGACAGAGATCTTGCTGTCACCCAGGCTGGTCTCCAACTCCTTGGCCTCAAGTTATCTTTCAGTCTCAGCCTCCCAAAGCCCTGGGACTACAGGCGTGAGCCACCACGCCCGGCCCAAGCTTGTCCTTTGAGCGTATCTGCAGAGTTGGTCATTCTGGTTCTATGAGCCCACGCAGCAGAAGAGCTGGCCAGAACTCAAGGGTTCTGGGGGCTGGGGGTCTTTGCCTGCCCACCTGACCCCGACGGCTGGTCACCAGCTCATCAGGAGAGCAAAGAAAACAGACTCAATTCCCTTTAGTCTTTGTGTGTCTGCTACAGGTTGTCAGATTTATAAGACTGGAAACCGCCCACTATCTCTTTAAAAAATACATTTTTAGCCGGGCTCGGTGGCTCAGCCTGTAATGCCGCGCCTTTGGGAGGCTGAGGTGAGTGGATTGCCTGAGCCCGCGGGTTCGAGACCCGCCTGGGCAGCGAGACCTCATCTCTACAATAAATCCAAAAATCAGCCAGACGTGGTAGCGCACGCCTGTAATTCCGGCTACTCGGAAGGCTGAGGCGGAAGGATCGCCGGAGCCCGGCAGGCGAGGCTGCGGTGGCCGGGAGCGGCCACTGCACTCCAGTCTGGGCGGCAGAGTGAGACTCCAACTCAAAAAAAAAAAAAATACGTTTTTTTCTCGCCTTAAGTTATTTCAAAAATCTTCAGAGGAGAGTACATCAAATCTACGCCAGACAAGGGAAGGGAGATCTTTGCACACTTCAGAATGGCAATTGTAGCTGGGCGTGGTGGCTCACGCCTATAATCCCAGCACTTTGGGAGGCCAAGGTGAGCGGATTGCCTGAGCCCATGGGTTTGAGAACAGCCTGGGCAACTTGGCGAGACTTCGTCTCTACAATAAAAATCAAAAAATGAACCTGACATGGTAGTGCATGCCTGAAATTGTGGCTACTTAGAAGGCTAAGGTGGAAGGATCTCTGAAGCCCAGTAGCTCAACGCTGGGGTGGATGTGAGTGTGCCACTGCACTCCAGTCTGGGCGAGAGTGAGACTCCAACTCAAAAAAAAAAAAAGGTGGAGGCCAGGGATAACGCCAAACACTCCATAGTACACAGGACAGCCCCCCATGACAATGTATGATTAGGTCCCAAATGTCCATAGTGCTGACATTGAGAAATCCCAGTCTAGCACTCCCGAGAAGTACTTAGTGATATGATTGCAAGCACTTCTTTAAAAATTTTTTTTTGTACAGACAGGAGTCTCACTATGCTGTTCAGGCTGGTCTCGAACTCCCGGCCTCAGGTGGTCGTCCCTCCTCGGCCTCCCAACATATTACGATTACAGGTGCCTGCCACCGCATCTGGCTGCAAGCACCTTAAATAAGAGGCAGAGTTCTTCCTCGGGGTAGACTGTTTAGCTAAGCTGTGATCAGTGACCGCTAAAATTTGTGCCCGAGATAGTCTGGGCCTGTATGTCTTTTCTTCAAGCCCCGATGTGACTGACTTTCTTGTGGAGAGGGACTGTAATGACGTGTTTCCATGATGTTTTTGTGGAGAAAGCTGTCAGGCTTGGCTGTGAGCTCGTTTACAACTCCTCTACTTCAGCCTCTCAAAGCACTAGTATTGATTCTGCAGTGGCTTCTAGAATTGCAGGAGTGAGGTCAGGAATATTTAATCAGACCCTGAAAGCCTGCCACAGCAAACTCAAAGTCTATTAAGTAAGCCCAAAGCCACAAGATTGATAAGCTATTTACAAGGGGAAACCATTAACCCTTTCTGAGCATGAGCAAGTGTGTACCTGGAACCCTCCTGAATACTTTTACAGCTGTTATCTCAAAGTGGGAAGACGCTCATGGATGGCCAGCTCTGAGAAAACAAAGGGGCGCGGTTGAAGGGAGACATTCCCTTCACCTGGGGGCACCAACCAACTAAAGGAGACATTGCTGGGTGCCTTGAGTAACCAGAGACTCCAAAGAGTCCCCAGGAGAGAACACAGCACACTGGTTAAGAGCACATTCCAATGGCCAGGTGTGGTGGCTCACACCTGTGATCCCAGCGCTTTGGGAGGCTGAGGCAGGAGGATTGCTTGAGGCCAGGAGTTCAAGGCTGCATTGAGCTCTGATCATGACACCACACTTCAGCCTGGGCAACAGAGCAAGACCCTGTTTAAACACACACACACACACACACACACACCCCCTAAACACCTAGGTTTGAATCCAGCTCACCCACATGGGATTGTGTAATCTTGGATAAGTTCCTGACCTTTCTGTGACTGAGTGTCCTCACAGGGTCATTCTGAGGAAATGAGGAAATGTTTGTAAAGTGTTTAGAACAGTGCATGGCACCTGGTACATGCTGTTAAACAAAAATGCATTCTGTCTGAAATGTCATGATCCGCAGTGAAAAATAAGGCTGCCTACTGTGCTTGGCACTGGGGAACAGGATGACGGGGAAGACACAGGAGAATTTCTTTTTTCCAGCAAGCCTGTGTCCCCCGGACTGGATGAGGTGGAGGGCACTTGGAAGACACCTCGCCCGTGTCAGGGACAGCCCTGCCCCAGAACCCCGTCCTACAGAGGAGGGGCCCAAAAAAGGGCTCAGGACCTGTCCCAGGCCACAGCAAGAAAGCCCAGAGCTAGAATGCGGACGCCCATCCGTTTGACCCCACCCAAGACAGCCCCGGGAGACACCGGGTATGCCAGGTCCCAGGCGACCGTAGGGGGCAGCCCAGCCCCGACTCACCCACGGACAAGATCTCCCGGCATTTCTCACACTGGTCCTTCATCCTCAGACAGCCCGTGGAGTTGTGACGGATCTCCCGGCACACCGTGCGGTCGTCGTCACCTTCTGCAGACACACGGGGAAACAGCGTCAGGCCCAGGCGTCTGGCCACACGGGGACGGGCCACTGAGTTCTCTGAGCCCTTCCTGCCACGCTCCCGTCCGGCCCTTTGGGACGGGGCTGGGGTCAGAGGAGATTGGCACTGGGTTGTTTTCCTGCAGACACGGGCCTCGGCTGGGGCTCCCTGCAGGTGTTCCTGTGCCCCTCGGCTGGTGCGGGCTCCCCCCCATCTCCACCCAAGGAGACCCCCTCCTGCCTTCTCTCTGGCACCATCACCCCGTCTGCCCTGCAGGCTGTCTGGCCCACTGCTCTGCCCCAGTCAGTCACACGCCTCGCGGAGGCAGGTTTGAATCCCCCTTCAAGTCCCCTCACATCACGCCCTTCGCCCCATTAGGGAAACACGGTAGATGCTCATTTGATGGAAGGCCCGCTGGCCAAGCACGGTGGCTCTCCCAGCACTTTGGGAGGCTGAGGCGAGAGGATTGCCTGAGCTCACGGGTTCGAGACCAGCCCGGACAACTTGGTGAGACTGTGTCTCTACAATAAAACAAAAAATTAGCCAGGTGTGGTAGTATGTGCTTGTAGTTCCAGCAACTTGGAAGGCTGAGGCGGAAGGATCGCCAGAGCCCAGGAGGTCGAGGCTGCAGTGGCCATGAGCGTGCTACCGCACTCCAGCTTGGGTGACAAGAGTGAGATGCCAACTCAAAAAAAAAAAAAAGAAAAAGAAACAACCATTTAAGGCCCTCCTGTGTTGCCAATCTTCTTCTTTTTTTTTTTAATGCAAAGATGCCATTTTTTCATCCAACTAATTTGTTTTGTTTTTTGTGGAGACAGGGTTTCAATATGTTGCCCAGGCTGGCCTTGAACTCCTGGCCTCAAGCAATCCTCCCACCTCAGCCTCCTGAGTAGCTGGGATTACAGGTGCATGCCACCATGTCCAGCTTATCTTTTAAATTTTTCCATAGAACTGGGCTCGGTGGCTCAGTCTGTAATCCCGCGCCTTTGGGAGGCTGAGTTGAGTGGATTGCCTGAGCCTGTGAGTTCGAGACCTGCCTGGGCAGGCGAGACCTCATCTCTACAATAAATCAAAAAATCAGCCAGGCATGGTAGCGCACGCCTGTAGTTCCAGCTACTCGGAAGGTTGAGGCGGAAGGATCGCCGGAGCCCAGCGGTCGAGGCTGCGGTGGCCGAGAGCGGCCCCTGCCCTCCAGTCTGGGCGACAGAGGGAGACTCCCACTCAAAACAAAAAAAAATTTTTTCCATAGAGATGGGTCTCGCTATGGTGCCCAGGCTGGTCTCGAACTCCCGGCCTCAAGCAATCCTCCCACCTTGACCTCTAAGGCACTGGGATGACATAAGCCATCATGCCCAGCCCCGTGCTGTTTTACTTTGCTTTTTCTCTTTCAATAAGGAGGGTGCCACCCATCAAGAGACCCAGGGGACGCCCACCAGACCCCGGGCATCGCTCTCAGCTTCCATCGCTTGCTCCATCCGCTGTGCCCTCCCGCCCCTTCCTGGGAAATAGGAGACGTCCTTCTCACCTCTGATGAGGTCCATCTGCGGGTGCTGGAAGGCCGGGCTGTGGAAGTGGACATCCATGGCCTGCTGAGCCTGGTGTATCATGTCAAAGAAGGGCTGGAACATGTCCTGGAAGCTCGGGGGCTCGTACGGGGAGAAAGGCATCAGGCTGCGCACGAAGCGGGACTTGGGGAAGAGAAAGTGAGGCCTCCAGGGCGTCAGGCCGAAGGGGAAGGAGCGGAAGCTGTCCTGGGGCTCGTGGGTGAAGAACCTATCCTGGAAGAGCTCGTCCATGATGCTGGACGCCCGGCTGAAGCGGTCCTGCATGACGTCCAGCATGTGGCTCTGCTGCCGGTCGTCCTCCAGCAGGGAGTCGATGCGGTCCCCGTTGATCCAGAAGTAGAACGGGGAGCTCTGGTTCAGGAACTCCTCGAGCTGGGACAGCCAGAATGGGTGCCGTCAGCGGGCGCTCTCCCCCGGCCACAGCCTCCTGTGCCTCCCCCCCGAGGGGAACAGGCTGTGCCTCGCCCCTCGCTGTGACAGTCACACCCCGAGCCACCAAAGGCCCAGCCAGAGGCTTCCAGGGACTCCAACCATCAGGCCGGGGCCCTTGCGTTCTGCGGGGCACAGTTTAGAGCCAACTGTGGGTTCCCCAAGGCCCATCACGTTAGATGCGCCTGCTGTCACCTTTGGCCACCAATGATACCCACACCGGCTTAGCTGAGGGCCCACAGATGAGGAGCGCTCATCGAGTCCCAACCAAGAGAGGCCCACGGCTGAGGATAGGACCAACATTAACATGCTAAAAACACTTAAATCCTTCCACTTCTGTGGACACGGGGTCTGCCAAACCACAAAGCCATCTGTTACGCTAACCAGCTAATCATTGCTGGATACGAGTCTTCTCAGAGATGCAAATACCTGATTCACATGCTTTTGGTGAGGCCAGTAGACAACGTCTGTGTTCGTGCCAGACATTACCAATCAAGCATGGCACTCTGGGCCCCAGCCCGGCCAGCCAGAACTAATCAATTGTATCTGGCACACGGAAGGAAGCCTATTTCACCAGGTTGCCCCCATGTCCCACTCAGAGCCTCGGCCACACGCATGTCCCCTTCTCACCTGGCGGCCCACCAGGCCTGAGCCACTCCTGCAGACGCGTGCATAGAACTTCATGCAGGTCTGTTTCAGGCAGGGCTTACACTCCTCCCACAGGGCCATCATGGTCTCATTGCACACTCCTGGGAATGCCTTGAGCTTCATTTCCGAATCCCTGGTCTCATTCAGGACATCCTACGGGAAGACACAAGGTCAGGTGAGCCACACAGAGGCCACAGCCTTCACTGGCCCGGGCAGGAGCCGGGTGCCGAGCCCTCCACCCCGGGGCAGTCCTTCCCAAGGGTTGGCCACCCAGCATGCAAGTTCTCACCCCTGTCCTGGCTCAGGAGTCCTCTCTTTCACCCACCTGGAATTCCCTCCCCACTGGCTTTAAGCATCCTGTCATCCTTCAAGACCCACCTGTTCCTTAAACTCTTTCCGGACTCCTGGGACCCATGTGGACATCTCCTCTCTCTGTATGACTCAGTCCATGGACAGCCTGCCCCATGACTGACCTCTCACTTATACCTCATCTTCTATTCTCAACACCTGGTTTTCTTTCTCTCTCTGTCTCCCTCTCTCTCCTCCCTCTCTCTCCCTTTCTTTCTTTCTTTTCTTGTTTTGTTTGTAGAGACAGGGTTTCACTCTGTCTGGAGTGCAGCCTTGACCTCCTGGACTCAAGTGATCTCACTTCAAACCTCCTGAGCAGCTGGGATTACAGGCATGTACCACTACACCTGGCTAACTTTTAAAAATATATATTTTCTTTATAGAGACAAGGTCTCTCTATGTTGCCCCAGACTGATTTGAACTCCTGGGCTCAGGTGATCCTCCTAACCTTGAACTTCCAAAGTGCTAGGATTACGGGCGGGAGCCAACAAGCTCAGCCAGCATCTGGTATTTCAACGTCATCTTCCAAAGCAGCTTGGAGGCTCCCTGAATTTTATTTTTCTACCACTACCACGGGCCTCTGACATCCAAAGGGAACCAGCAGGCTTCCAAAACCAAAGCCATATCAACTACCAACCAACACAGGCCTCTAACAGTCCCCTGACACTTGACCCAATAATTCCATAAGAATCTATCCCAAGGGATTCCCCTGATAGAGAAAAAGAATCTTTATGCCTAAAGATATCTGTTACAGGATTTTTTATGACGCCCAAGATCAGAATTAACTCAGATGCCCCAAAGTAAGGGACAGGCTAAATAAACTGTGGTTCAAAGGATAGGTAAGCACATCATCACAAGGAATGTATAATAAGTTTCAAATGTTATCATATGTAGTGCTTCTGTTAAAATTCATAATTTTGAATATGGCTGCTTTCAAAAAAATATAGAGAAAAAGGGTAGTGGGAAAGTGATCGACATTAACAGTGAATTTTGTCCTCAGACGAAAGGATTATTGAAAAACCTTGCCTCTTCTACTTTTCTATGTTAAAATCTCAATAAATGAATGTATTGTGCTTTAAAAAAAAAAAAAAGGCAGCTTATCCAGACCCTGGAGTTACACAAGGTCTTTGTGCAGCTCTGGTGTTCCCACACTCTTCTGGGGAAGGTGACTCCACCCCTCCCTGGGCCCAGACACAAGTGTCACCTACATAGCTCACTTCCTTTCTTTCTGGTTCACCTGTTCCTCAAATAAGAAATGGCAGAATCCTTTTGCTCATCTTTTTTTTTTTCTTTTTGAGTCGGAATCTCACTCTGTCGCCCAGGCTGAAGTGCAGCAGCACACTCACGGCCACCGGCGCCTCGACCTGCCAGGTTCAGGCGATCCTTCTGCCTCAGCCTTCCCCGTAGCTGGAACTACAAGTGTCACCACCACGCCCAGCTATTTTTTTTTTTTTATTGTAGAGACTAGGTCTTACCAAGTTGCCCAGGCTGGTCTCGAACCTCCAGGCTCAAGCAATCCTCTCAACTCCACCTCCCAAAGTGCTAAGATGACAGGTGTGAGCCACCGTGCCTGACCTCCCATCTTGATGTGCTTTATAATAAAACCTGGCTTGCCGAATGTCAGAGTCCAAGGATAACCAAAACAACATGAGGACCAGATTTACCCCTGCTTCATGAGCAGCTAGAGGATTCTTGCAGAATGCTGAGAACTAACACGGAGGCCAAGGAAAGGCAGGAAGTTGGAGAAAAAGTTAGAGCCGCAGCCAGGCCAGCATCCCCTTAAGTGGCTTCTGTGGAATTATGCTTAAAACTGGAAAAATGGGCTCCCTGGTCAATGTGGAAAATTCTGGGTCACGTGGAGTTACACGGGTTTCCTTACTGCAGAGCTTTTAAAATACTTTTCACAGCCGGGCTCGGTGGCTCAGCCTGTAATCCCGCGCCTTTTGGGAGGCTGAGGTGAGTGGATTGCCTGAGCCCGCGGGTTTGAGACCCGCCTGGGCAGCGAGACCTCATCTCTACAATAAATCAAAAAATGAGCCAGGTGTGGTAGCGCACGCCTGTAGTTCCAGCTATGTGGAAGGCTGAGGCGGAAGGATCGCCGGAGCCCAGCAGGTCGAGGCTGCGGCGGCCGGGAGAGGCCACTGCACTCCAGTCTGGGTGACAGAGTGAGACTCCGACCCAAAAAAAAAAAATCAGTTGTTGATTGAGTTACGGTGTCTTCATTTTGTTGAACCATGAAGCACAGGCTAGATCTTGTTACCTCCACTATCCAACTTGCGATGTCTCTTTATGAAACAGTCCAGAGTGCCCGCATTAACCCTGACCCCATGGCCCCTACTAGAGAAGCTTCCTTAAGGCTGGGCACCAAACCCTCCCGGCCTCTGCCCCCAGCCTCTCCAGAGCCTTAACTGGGAGCCTGCCCCTGACTCGGGCTTAGAAATGTCTATTGAAGGGAATCTGGGCATCAGGCCCCGGGCCAGGCTTGTGACACAGCCAGATCCAAGCCTCCACCCCCCGAAGCCTTCAAAAGCGAATAAACCTTCCCTGTTTTTTAACACAGCCTCAGCGTCAGCTGACATAGCCCTGGAAGGACCTGGGTCACCATGGCAACCCAGCCAGGCACCCCGCTGCAACCCCTCCTCCCCCGTGGTTGGAGGGCCACAGCGGGGCAGTGACTGCCAGTCCCCCCTCACCTCCTTCTTCTTCTTGGCTTCCTCGAGGTTGTTGAGCAGAATCTTGCGCTCCTCGTTGGTTCTTTCTATGAGATTCTTGATCTGTTTCACCCCGTTGACAGCGTTTTGAATCTCCTTGTTAATGTACTTACTTCCCTGGTTGGACATTTCTGCAAGACAAGGGCAAGAGGCAGCAGGTGGCGAGAGGGAAGGAGGGCATCAGGGATGTCACCCTGAACCAGCTGGAATGGTTGGAAAGGCCCGTTGGGTCCAGGGCCTGCCGAGGCTGGGACGCCTTCCCAGGGCCACAGGCAGCGTCACGGCCCCAGCCTTGGCCCGACACAGGGTCCCATCCCAGGCTTGCTGTGGACCCTGTCCTACTGCTCAGAAATGCAGCCAGCACAGCTCAGAGAAGGACGGCGGAGCAATGCCCGGCCACTACCCTGAGACTCGAGCATGGGGAAAAAAAAGAGTCAACCCAGAAGTGTAACCTTTGAAGCATCAGAATAGAAAATACTGGGCTATTTATTTACTTATTTATTTTGCAGTGGCACAATCACCACTCATCGTAGCCTCGAACTTCTGGGTTCAAGTGATTCTCTTGTCTCAGTCTCCAGAGTAGCTGGGACTACAGACACACACTTTCACACCTGGCTAATTCTTTACTTATTTTTCTTTTTGGCTGGAGTCTCACTCTGTCACCCGATATGAAGTGTAGTGGCACGCTCATGGCCACCGCAGCCTCGACCGGCTGGGCTCCGGCGATCCTTCCGCCTCAGTCTTCCGAGTAGCTAGAACTACAGGTATGTGCTACCACGCTAGTCTAATTTTTTTTTTTAAATTGTAGAGATGAGGTCTCGCCAATTTGTCCAGGCTGATCTCAAACCCACAGGCTCCGGCAATCCACTCACCTTGGCATCCCAAAGTGCTGGGATGACAGGCTGAGCCACCACGCCCAGCCTAACTTTTTTTAGAGATGGGGTCTCTCTGTGTTGCCCAAGCTGGTCTCAAACTCCTGGGCTTAAAGGATCCACCCACCTTGACCACACAAAGCACTGGGATGATAGGCATGAGCCACCACAGCTGGCCTAAACTATGATTTTGGATGCAAATCTTTCTGGACTTCAGTTTGTTTCTTTGTTTCTGGTCTTGAGTCGGAGTCTTACTCTGTCGCCCAGGCTGGTGTGCAGCGGCAATCACAGCGATAGCAACCTCGACCCGCTGGGCTCAGGCGATCCTTCCACCTCAGCCTTCCAAGTAGCTGGAGCTACAGGCACACGCCACCACGCCTGGCTAATTTGTTTGATTTTGTTGTAGAGATGAGATCTCACCAAGTTGCCCATGCTGGTCTTGAACCCCTGGGCTCAGGCAATCCTCTCACCTCCATCATCTCAAAGGATGACGGGCGTGAGCCATGCCTGGCCTGGATTTCAGTTTAACCGTCTCTTTGTTCCCGTACCCAGTGCCAGGCAGTGGGGACAGGAAGATGAGTGAGTGATCAAGACACAGCACTGGTGGCAAAGGGGGCAAAACACTGTGACACCAAAGTGCTGCTTATCTGGTGTTTACCCCATGCCAAGCACTGCTCCCAACACTTTACATGCATGTGATTTGCTCCTCCAGCCCCAGCACCAAGCCCGCTTCACAGAGCAGGATGGAAGTAGAGAGAGAAGGTGATGGCCCAAGGACGCAAGTGTCAAGCGGCGGGATGAGGAGGACCTGGAGATCTATGGTCCGGACGGTACCTGGATTTATATCCCCGTATCGTAACTTGAAATGTGCTACGAGAATAGATCTTAAATGTTTTCACCATTTGAAAGAAAAGGCGGCCGGGCGTGGTGGCTCAGCCTGTCAACCCAGCACTTTGGGAAGCCAAGGCTGGAGGACTGCTTGAGCCCAGGAGCTTGAGACCAGACCAGACAACAAAGCATGAACCCATCTCGGGAAAAAAAAAAAAAGAATAAAAAGATAGTTGTCAGCCGGGCTCGGTGGCTCAGCCTGTAATCCCGCGCCTTTGGGAGGCTGAGGTGAGTGGATTGCCTGAGCCCGCAGGTTCGAGACCCGCCTGGGCAGCGAGACCTCATCTCTACAATAAATCAAAAAATTAGCCGGGTGGTAGCGCGCGCCTGTAGTTCCAGCTACTTGGAAGGCTGAGGCGGAAGGATTGCCGGAGCCCAGCAGGCGAGGCTGCGGTGGCCGGGAGCGGCTGCTGCACTCCAGTCTGGGCGACTGAGTGAGCCTCCAACTCAAAAACAAACAAACAAACAAAAAAAGATAGTTGTCCGGAGTCAGCCAGCTAGGAAGTGGTGGAGACACACACAGGTCTGCTCTCGAAGTCCGGGTTTGAAACTACTGACGACCTGAAGAACTGGTTAGCTGTGAGTGGGGCAGGGGGTGGAGGGAGGACAGGTGTCGGAAAAGGCCTCCTGGAAGAAGGGCCCTCCAACTGGGCTCTGAGCAGCGCAGGCCGCTGTGTCGAGCTGCACGTTCCCTTCCCTGTTTCGTGAGCAGAGAACGTGCAGCCTGGCTTCCCGGCTGGAAAGAGAACAACACACTGGGAAGAGCTCTGGGTACTCCCAAGGGGAGATGGACAAAGACTCCGAGGGTCCAGGCGGAGCTTCCGCGGGTGGCGAGGGAGCCTAGCGCAGGGGTTGGGAAGGGAGCAGCCGATTGAACTGTGGTAGCCAGAAAGGCCTTGGGAAACGCCTGCAAATGCTCAGAGCTTAACCTACACAGAGCGGAAGCAGAGACCCAGAGGGGGCCGGGGCACAGGAACCTGGACCCAGAGCACAAGATACAAATGGTCTCTAACACTCAGGGTCGGCTGTACACTCAATGGCTCGTGTCTATAATCCCATCACTTTGGGAGGCCGAGGTGGGAGGATTGCTTGAGCCCAGGAGTTCAAGACCAGCCTGGACAACATAGCGAGACCCCATCTCTACAAAAATATCATTAAAATTAAGCCGGGTGCGGTGGCTCAGGCCTATAATCCCAGCACTTTGGGAAGTGGAGGCGAGAGGACTGCCTGAGCCTAGGGGTTCAAAACCAGCCTGGGCAACTTGGTGAGACCTCATCTCTACAGTAAACCAAAAATTAGCCGGGTGTGGTGGTGTGTGCCTGTAGTTCCAGCTACTTGAAAGGCTGAGGTGGAAGGATCACCTAAGCCCAACAGGTCGAGGCTGTGGTGATCTGTGAGCATGCCACTGCATTCCAACCTGGGTGACAGGGTGAGACTCTGACTCAAAAAAAAAAAAAAAAAAAAACCCCGAAACAAAAATATAATAAAAAATAAAAAATTAGCCGAGCGTGGTTGCATGCACCAGTGGCTCCCAGCTTACTCGGGAGGCTGAGGCAGGAAAATCACTTGAGTTCAGGAGTTCAAGGCTACAGTGAGTTATGATCACATCACTGCACTGCAGCCTGGGCAACCGAGGAGACCCAGCCACAAACAACAAAAACAAAAACAAAAAACAGAACACACAGGGCCTGACAGGGAGGGATTGTGGGAAGGCGGCAGCCCTGCCCTCTGACCTCACCCCCGTGGGCTTGGGGAGGTCACGCCTGATCTACTCACCCTGGAGCTCATTGTCGGAGACGGCCTGGTCTCCCAGGACCTGCCCGCTCTCCCAGGTCAGCAGCAGCCCCACGAACAGCAGCAGGGCTTTCATCGTGCCTCCTCCTCCAATCCTGGAATCCCGGCACGCCTCTGTTAGGAGAAAACAGGACAGACCGTCCGTCCGTCGTGGGAACAGCCAGGCAGCCTGCTGTTTCCTGCCCAGCCCGCTGCCTGCGGCCGCTTCCCAGGGACCTCGAGGACCCAGCGCCCTCAGCCTCGCTGCATCTGTGTCCCTGAGGAAATGGGGGGAAGAGGCCAGACTTGCCTTTGACACCTTCAAAAGAGAGCAAAGGCGGAGGTGTAGGGAGGGAGGAACTGCAGGACGGTGACATCGGGCAGAAGACAAGAGCCCTGGCGTTGGAGGAGCCGGGCTCCCGTCCAAGCCACGTCCTCCCCCGCGATCACTGCGTGTCCCTCCGCAAGGCACACAGGCTTGCTGCGTCCTGGCCTCCTTGTCCAGGAAGGGCGCCCAGCATGCCAAGCACTGAAAATACCTCCCCTGGGTCATTCATCTGTTCCTCCCCTGTCCGCACCACCCCCCGCAGGGGGCTGCGTCTCCAAGCCCAGCAACGTCCCCTGCAACAAGGCACCCCTAACCCTCGGCCCCAGCAGACATCCCTGTCATTCACAACCCCGTGCCCCCCCAAGCCTCAGCACCCCTAAACTTGCTTTTCACGAGTCTGAGGCTGTAACCGCCTGCCCTTTAGATTGGCATGGAAAGTAAACCCATTGGCATCTCTAGGGCGAGACCTGGGCTGGCCTGCTTGTGCGTCGGGGGTGGAAATAAACAGTCGAGCAAGGAAGGATGACAGTTGTCACCGGGCAGTAGAGAAGGTGACCAGAGGAGCAGGAGCGCCAGAAGTTCCTCTGGGAGGACAAGCCCCCCCTGCTCTGCAGACCCCTTCACACGGCCCTGCCCTTCGAAGCCCACAGCAGCACGCCCCGCCAGCGTTCCTGCCACCACTGGGCCGGCTGCCCTGAGCCAGGGGACACGGGCCACAGCCCCGGTCTTACACAACGGGCCCTTTCCCAGAAGCCGAGGCTGTTGCATAAAACAGAAACCTCTCCCACTGCACCCCCCTGTCCCCTCCCAACCGCTTATCTGAGCTCGCCCCCTCCCTGTAACAGGGAGGCGGAGTCCCCCTTCCTGAAATGGTTCCATCCCAGACCGGCTCAGCCCAGCAGGCCGAAGGACACCTGGCCGAACATGAATCAGGAAGGCCTCTCATGAGAGGTAACAGAGCAAAGAGCCGCGTAGGAGGAGAGACAGGCCAGCACCGTCCCCAAGATGGGGTGGGTGGCTGAGATAGGGCTCCCCGAGAAGGCCATGGTCTCACCCCAGCTGCTCACTGAGGCCTGAATTGCCGAAGGCAGGGACAGAGCCTTTGTCACGCCAGAGAGACAAAGCCAGCCAGAAACAGGCCTCCGCAAGGGGCCTCTGAACACAGAGACTTCTGGGAGAGCCACACAGAAACAGCTTCCAGTAGGCAGCGTCTTGGGCCTGAAGAAAGGGGTGGCCAAGGGCAAGAATCGGATGAGTTCTGAGGCTGGCAGTGGACACACCACCAGGAGCTTGGGGTCCTTTGGCGAGCCATCAGGCTCTGAGCTGGGAAAAAGGTCATTCTCCTGCCAACCTCTGCCCCTGCCTTAGAGGGAGGCCAAAACCCAGAGACAGCATGGGGCTCCCCAGGGCCTAAGAGGAGAACTCAGCCCTCCCGACTCTCAGTCTAGTATTCTTTCCTTGACACCAAGTCCCTCAAATCTCTGAGTGTCAGTTTCTTCATCTGTAAAATGGACCTAATCCAGACCTCAGAGATGTGAATGTGTTCTGTAAACGTGAAGGCCTTATATAATCACAGAAAATTCTGACTGCTTCAAAAGTTAACTGAGGGCTGGGCGTGGTGGCTCACATCTGTAATCCCAGCACTTTGGGAGGCCGGGGCGAGAGGATCGCTTGAGCCCCGGAGTTGGAGACCAGCCTGGGCAACACAGTGAGACCTCGTCTCTACAAAACGTCAAAAAATGAGCCAGGCATGGTGACAGGTACCAGTGATCCCAACTACTTGGGAGGCTGGCACAAGAGGGTCACTTGAGCCCGGAAGGTCGAGGCTGAATGAGCTATAATCACGCCACAGCACTCCAGTCTGGGCAAAGGGCAATCTCAAATAAAACGGATTGAGGACCAATCCTAGGTATTGACAATATCTAACCGGCATGTCTAGAGAAGGGCACACAGAGGTCACCTGTGGTCCCCCCAACTATGCGGCTCTGCCTTGATGAAATGACTGACTCCCTTTTTATCGTTTTTGAGACAAGGTCTCCCTCTGTCGCTCAGGCTAGAGTGCAGTGGCGCGATCATAGCTCACTGCAGCCTCAGACTCCTGGCCTCAAGTGATCCTCCAAGCTCGACCTCCCAAAGCACTGGGATTACAGGCGTGAGTCACCCCATACAGGCTAAATAGGCTCTTTTTAAAGTGCTTAAGAATTACCCGGAGGGCTTGTTATAATGCCAGTTATGAGTCAGAATCTGCTTTTCTAGCCAGCTTCTGGGTGATGTGATGTTACCTGTCCAGGGACAGCGCTAGGGCCGAGGAAGCACAGCCAATGGCCCTCTCTTTGCACAGACTCGCCTCCCTTCTCATCTGCACCTCCTGGGCGCCTGGCTGCCTGCTGCCTGAGTGGACCAGCCACACCAAGGTCAAGGCCCTCACGTTCCCACCACGAATGACGCAGCCTCTTTCTCCCTAGGGAGACTTAAACTACCTGGCTCCTTCTGCCCGAAAAGGCTGGCCCCCTGGGCAAAGGGCTGTGCCGGGGAAGGAGGAGGGGACGGAGGACCAGGTGGACTCTGAGGGCAGCTCTGTCCCGGGCACACCCTCCTGAGAGCTTTGAACTTACCAGCTTCCCAAGCAGGGCCGGGGAGGAGGTTTCAGAAAATCAGTCACCGTGCAGAGAGAGCTGTGGGGAGGACGCAGAGACATAAGCAAATGGGTCACATGGCTGGTACGCCACCGGGCTTCATGCCCAAAGCCCCAGCTCCTATCTGACTGCCTTCCCAAATGGAGACAAAGGAACCAAAGGAAATGGGAGAGAAAAAGAAATGAGAAAAGACACCGCCTGTAATTCACACCACCCAGAGACAAATATGAGTACCGTGATAGATTTCCTTCTATCTTTTAAGCGTTTTTTTTTTTTGGTTGTTTTGTTTTTTGAGTCGGAGTCTCACTCTGTCACCCAGGCTACAGTGCAGTGGCACACTCACGGCCACCCCAGTGTCGACTTGCTGGGCTCTGATGATCCTTTCACCCCTGCTGGGATGACAGGCTGAGCCACCGAGCCCAGCCTTTTATGCATTTTTTATACAATCAGATTCTTTACATCCACTTTCTTCGAATATTCTCTTTCTTGCTTTTCTTTTTTTTTTTTTTTTTTTTTTTTTTTTTTTAGTCAGGGTCTCACTCTGTCACACAGGTTGGAGTGCGATGGCATGATCACGGCTCACCCAGTCTTGGCCTCCTGGGCTCAGCCAATCCTCCTGCCTCAGCCTCTTGAGTAGCTGGGATTACAGGTGTGTACCACCACAGCTGGTTAATTTTTACATTTTTTGTAGAAACAAGGTCTGGCTTTGACACCCAGGCTGGAGTGCAGTGACACAACCACCGCTTACTGCAGCCTCGACCCCCTGGTCTCAGGCGATCCTCCTGTCTCAACTTCCTGAGTAACTGGGACTACAGGTGTGTGTCACCATGCCCAGCTAATTTTTTGTGAATATCCTTTAAAAGCAAACTTCTGTGGCTGCATAATACCCCATTTTCTGGTGAACCTGAGTTTATTTTACCATTCTCACGAGGTTAGGCGTTTAAGTTGTATCTAAAGCCCCACTGTTGATATAACTTACATTATCACGAGCATCCTTTTATAGTATCTGAACTTACTCTTAAATTTCTAACTTCTTTTTTTTTTTTGAGTTGGGTGTCTCACTCTGTTGTCCAGACTGGAGGGCAGTGGCACACTCCTGGCCACCACAGCCTCAACCTGCTGGGCTCAGGCGATCCTTCTGCTTTGGCCTTCCAGGTATCTGGAACTACAGGTGCACGCCACCATTCCTGGTTAACTTTTTGATCGAGTGTAGAAATGAGGTCTCGCCAAGTTGCCCAAGCTGGTTTCAAACCCAGGGGCTCAGGCAATCCTCTCACCTCAGCCTCCCCAAGGGCCGAGGTTATGGGTGTGAGCCACTGCGCCTGGCAAACTTCTTTTTTTTAAATCAATAATAATCAGCTTCCTTTTTCTTTTTTTTTAACTAGGTCCAGAAACTCTGGAAGGTCAAGCGGCTTTGGCTCTCATCCCAATTCTAACACTTATTTGCCGCTCAGCCTTGGGGACGGCCCTAAACCTCTCCGGGCCTCGGACTGTCATCTGTAAGACGAGACGGTCGGGTCCGACGTCTGAGGCCTGACGGAGCCGGGTGGCTTTTCTGCAATGCGCCTTGGGTGCATCAGGCAGCAGGAGGCGGAGGACTCGGGGGTTTGCGGCACATACCTCGAGTCACCACGTCGTACTGACAAACACACTCTCCCGAGATCTGAAGAATCCGGGAGGAAACAGCACGCCTCCCGCAGCCGCAGCC